ACCTTGCCCTTCACCTTTGCCTTGGCGTACAACTGGATGATTGGTCTGTCGTCGTGCTGGAGAAGGATTTGGAGCGACAGAGGTCGAGAGCGAAGTGGGAGATTTGGAATGGGTGAGTGGGGCTCTTTAGGTCAGGCGGGTCATGAAGGAAGGTCGGGTCATGGGTTGGGTTAGGTTTTGATGATGTGGCGAGTCGAGTTTTAATATTTTGGATTAGAAATTGGGTGACTGGGCGTTTCTGTTAGCCACGTTAGCAAAAATTTGTTGCCGTTAATGAAGACTAACGGAGAGTGACCAAACTTGAACCATTTAACTATTTGAGTGACCAAGATTAGATTTAAATATTTTCAGTGACCAAACATCAACTTTTTTTGTAATATCAGTGACCAACCGACAACCATTTACTCCCTCCCCCTACTATGTCTATGAGCATGGACACAATTGGATTTCCATTAGGAGGCCCATTATCCAATAATTCAAACATAAGAGGTTAGAATAAGTATTTTAAATTCTCAATTTAATTCATTAAATACGGATATTAAACATATTATATGGGTTTTAATGCATGTTTAGTACGAGATTCATCCAATGATAGGAAAAAAATGGAACAGTTTGACAATAGAATGAGAATGAAAGTTTTAAACACATAAAATACATACATCCATAAGTACGGGCATTGAATGGAGTAGTTACTAATTATGCACCGAGTATATATAGCCCAATCTTGCCATGAATAATACATCAATTGTTTTTGTGTAGAGATTTCATAAATTGTATGAGAAGCCTTAGCTTGAGATTATAGGTGAATGAACAACTAATATTGGTGCATATTAAACTTTCTATACGGTGTTTTTCTTTAACACAACCAACACACATTCCATATGTATTTTATACACGAAGGACAAAACAAACTAGTAAAAATGAGACAACTCTATAATAATAATGAAATGTTAGTTTTAAATGTATTTAGTATGCTAACGTTACTGTTTTCCCGATGAGATAATCTAGAGGGACGAGAATTGGATTTTTGCACATTTTTTACTTCCAAACAAAAGATTAACAAACACGGTCCACACCTCTTTGAACAAAGTTCAAACAAGGGTGTTCGATGTTCTTGATGATCTACGAGGCAAACTAAATTACATTAACTCTACTTCTATGGAGGTTCAGTGAGAGCTCCAGAACTACAACTATGGCTAAATTTGCAGAGGAAAAGATAAAAGGATAAAAAGTTGACATAGTGTTGTCTGGTGTGATTTTGGCGAACCCCTTCTCTGTCATCTTCACCTCCTATTTATAGCCATCAGAAGTAACTGCCCCAAGAAACTACTCTGCTGACGTGGAGTGACGGTTACCCTCTCAAATGCTATGACGGTTACCCTGATGTTGGAATTGAGATCCTCTTCAGTCTTGACACCCTCCTCTTGAGAACTCAACCTCTGTTCTTGGCATCTCCTCCGTAGTTTTGCTTATCGATAGAGTAAAAATGGCTAAGGCATGAAGGAATACCACGTACCACATATGGGTGAGTATTTGAATCACATGAATTAAAAATGGCAAAAAATACTTCACCATTAGTAGAGTAAAGAGACCACGTGCTCACATGACCCCCTTGCCTTGGCCATACCATGGGGGTGTACGTTGGTGACCCCCTCACCATACCATTGGGGGCATCCCCCATGGGGTCATATGGATCACCCCACCACTATATCATCATCATGGGAGCTGGCATTGGTAACCCCCCACCCCCTGATCATACCATGAGGGTGCTATGTTGGTGGTTCCCAGACCACCTCATGGGGGTGCTCCTTGCCACCATCATCATATTCCATACTTAGCCACATTTTACCTCTTCTCGTCTCACTAGGGCGCCATGGGGGTGGTGGTCTGGTACCCACCCCCTTGGTACCCCTTGAGGGTGGTGGTATGATGTCCACCCCCTTACCACGTCCTGGGGGGTGGTATGATGGTGGCCACCCCCCTCGGTACCTCCTGGGGCTGGTGGTATGATGCACACCCCCCTTACCATGTCTTGGGGGTGGTTCCCATACTCCTTGTCTTGGTTGAATTCGGCCATCACCCCCCCCCCCCACCATGTCATGGGGGTGGCGGTATGATGCCCAACCCCCTTGTCACATCCTGGGGGTGGTTCCAACAGTTTGCCAAATTTTGGAATTGATGGTAAGGTGGCGCGCAGAGTGGGTTTGGCATGGGTGCCATGGGCCCAAAAAACTAATCCCCGTGGCCCATCTTAATTGATTTTAATTGTTATAATTAAGTTGGCCTTATAAAGCCATTTAATCTCTTGTATTTAATCGATGTGGTACAAGGTGAATTTTAGTGGTAAACAAATGCCCCCAACTACTTAGTGCATAAGAATTATGGACTAAGTAGTTAGCCCCAATTATACCACTTCAAAGCCAATTATTAGCTTTTATCTCCACCACGTCAAACCACTTTCAAACTCGCCATACAAACTTGGGTTAGTCAAACTCAAATGCCACCTAACAGCAATCTTTGCCTCTCTTTTTCCATTGCCATGCTTGGCTAGGACTCGAAGTCTCCAATTTCTTATGAGACTAGATTCCTCAAATTATTTCCTTAACAGAAAATATTTTCAATCTCTTATCCATATCATCTTACACCCCATAGTCTTTCTTCCATCTTGACACAACCGTGCCCCCATGCCACTGTGATCACCAACACTCATGGTCTTTCTTAAATCACATGACATGGTATATTTTGAAACTAGTGGGGCCAAAACATTATCATGTCACCAACTATCACCCCCATGTCTTGTCATGAGGGGTGTGGTTCACACCTTAGCAAAATTATAAGATTTGGCATGATTAGGCCACCTTAATGGTCTAGCAGTAGGAGTAATGATTGAGGCTTACCAGTCGTGGCAATATCCTCACATCGAAGCCTACTAACTCCTACTCAAACTTGCCACTTCGACATTTTAAATATATATGTATATATATAGCCATGATTGGCTTTTCTATATTTATTATTATTATTTTACTTTTTATTGCATATAATACGTAGTTACAATCATCATTGATCTCCATACCCTTTGGCAATAACCAACCTGCCAAAGGTATACACCCACTGCCAAGTCCATGTGTTAAACCAAACAAGCCAACCATACACCATATGGCCATGGTTGTTCAAAGGAGATGATTCTTCACAAGCTGGCTTTGAATCACCCCCTTCACCATTTTCCCCCTTCTGACCCTTACTATCACTTTGGACTTGGACATGCTTGCCCTTGTCAGACACTATTACTTTGGGACCCGTGGCCATAGAGTTGTCTACCTCAATACTAGCATGACCATCCTCATTTTGTTGTGTTGGTCCCACCATCTCACCAGGTACTACTGGGTATTGCCCCTTTCGTGCTTTAACATTTTTACGTAGGAATCTCCTCCTTTGAGTCCTTGTCATCCCCCCAATAGCTACTGGTTGTTGACGATGCATATCATAAGTATGCCCCCTCCTTGTGGCACATTGGGTATCTTGAAATTCCTTTTCATGGGAAGAGGGTCATGTGCTACCCATTGCCTTCTTTGCCCCCAAACCGGTTGAATGACCCTCTCTCCTTGTCGTTGATAAGGTGGGTATCTCAGCCTATGGGGTGGACCAATTCTTTGTTGGACTGATTGATTCGGTCTCGCTTCATCAAGTCTAAGAATCCTTTTGCATTGAGTACAAAGCTTCTTCAGCTCACTTGACACCTTAGACGCGACTGAGTTGGCCTGCGTACCCCTCGATGACTCCCCCTGCTCAAACACCACATTGGGGGTCCTTTGTTATGGTGTTGTATCAAACACTAGTTTGAAACGGGGAAGCTAAATCTTGGAGAAGTCTGGGTTCACCATGTTGACACCAATCACGTTGGTAAACAGGTTGGTATCCACTAGCATGGCATCTCTCTTTGGCTCGGGGAGCTTGATGCGACCCTTCTCAATGGCATCCTGCAATATATTACAAAAAACCACACATGAGTTTGTGGAGTGTAGCATGTTGTTATTCCAGTTACAATATGTTTTCCCTCTTAACTTCTCAGGGGGTGGGATGTTATGCCCCCCTATCAACTTGATTTGACCATCTTCGTAGAGTTGGTCAAAAATTAAGTCAGATTTGGAGATATCGAAGGAATACTTTCGTGGCTGGATGGGGGCGCGATTTGGTTTACCCCCTTGTGGTTCATTGTCCATCTTAGCCAAAGAAGCACATACATATGGCTTCCCCGGAGTTAACTCAGCCAGGTTTACCTCGACCTCATTGGCATCTTGGCCAATATGGTTAACACGGTAGCTGGTGTTAGGGAAGTATTTCCCCCTTGAGGCACTCCTCCTATTCTCCTCTTCTTGAAGAAGATATTCATATCTCACCGCACAAGACATGTGTTGGAACAAGTCAGAGAATTCTCTATCTTGGAATTTCTTCCTTAACCCAAAACTCAAACCCCCTTGTGCTAACTTGACAAACTCTCTCTCCGTCAAGTTGACAAAGTAACGGTTACGAGCATTCTTGAAGTTTGTCAAGAAGTGCTCCACCGATTCCCTAGGCTTTTGGCGCATTCGTGCCAAGTCAGCCATGAAAACCTCACGTTCAGATCTATAGAACTGAGCATGGAAGCTTTGCTCCATCTACTGCCATGTTTGGATGTAGTGGGATGACAAGTTGACATACCAAGCAAAAGCAGGTCGTGTCAATGAGTTGCCAAATACTCTTAGCTTAATAAAGTCTCATACATCCCCACACTGGACAGTAAAACGTCCAATGTGCTCCACAGTAGACTAGTCCCCTGTCCCAGTGAATGTGGCAAACTCGGGCACCCTAAACCCCCTTGGGAATGGGTAGAGTCTATCCACCCACTCAAGGTATGTTTTGCGATAAATAGGTGGCATGGTGGGTCTCACTCCCATGCCAAATTGCTCGGCAAGAAGTTGAGCCAACTGGTCCCTTAGAGTGTTGGGATCATGCCCCTCTGGTTACCCCCCTTGGGGTACGAAACCCATGGGGTCCATGCCATGCCCATTGAAATGGGGTGGCATGGGTGTTGGGTATGCTCTCGGAGGAACTTGATCTCCCCCACCTAAGCCTACTCCCCCTCCCATGTAAGTAGGCACCGTATAGGGCTTTGCCACTGGTATGGGTATGGGTGACGGTTCCACTGGAGCAGAATGTGTAACTCCCAAATTCTCACCACGTGGGGGAATTTCTCCAACCCCCACATTGGGTATCCCTTCCATTTGAGTAGTGGAAGGAATCTCGCCGCGATGCATGCGGTGAGGAGTTGGTTGGTTTGTCATTGGCGGAAAGAAGTTATCTTGCCGTGGCTGACCATTTCCGCCGCCGAGGGGAGATGAACTAAAATTTATAGAATTATTAATGGGGTTTGGATTCCTGCCATCTAATGGCAGAGCTCTAGATTGTATTATTGGTGTGGTTAAAAACCTTCTAAACTCATCAAAATCACTTTTGTTCTTATTAACCACTTCAAATAATTGACTTAGACGTCTATCAACTCAAGAATTAAGACAGTCCATTTGAGAGTTTACCTGATGAGAAGCAGCTCTAGCCTCCTCCATCATGCGACAGTTCTCCTCTGTGGCTTGACGGTTCTCTGCCACCTGTTTGCGGTTCTCCATCATTTGATGAAGGACCCCCACTACTTCACCAATATCTCCACTAGGCGTCGCCGTTGGTAGGATCTCTGCCCCACCATTGTTTCTGGCCACCGCCTCTAACACTTGGCCATGTTCAATGTTGGCCACCTGCTCCTCCACAAAACCAGTCAGAGCGTCACCTTCTTGATTCCTCCACCTCAAGAGCCATCAAATCGAACACACGTGTCCCACCAGGTGTGCCAATTTGTTTTCCCGACGAGAAAATCTAGAGGGACGAGAATTGGATTTTTGCACCTTTTTTACTTCCAAACATACGATTAACAAACACGGTCCACACCTCTTTGAACAAAGTTCAAACAAGGGTGTTCAATGTTCTTGATGATCTACAAGGCAAACTAAGTTACATTAACTCTACTCCTATGGAGGTTCAGTGAGAGCTCCAGAACTACAACTATGGATAAATTTGCAAAGGAAAAGATAAAAGGATAAAAGTTGACATTGTGTTGTCTGGTGTGATTTTGGCGAACACCTTCTCTGTCATCTTCACCTCCTATTTATAGCCATCAGAAGTAACTGCCCCAAGAAACTACTCTGCTGACGTGGAGTGACGGTTACCCTCTCAACTGCTATCATGGTTACCCGGATGTTGGAATTGAGATCCTCTTCAGTCTTGAACCCCTCCTCTTGAGACCTAAATCTCTGCTCTTGGCATCTCCTCCGTAGTTTTGCTTATCCATAGAGTAAAAATGGCTAAGGCATAAAGGAATACCACGTACCACATATGAGTGAGTATTTGAATCACATGAATTAAAATTGGCAAAAAATACTTCACCATTAGTAGATTAGAGAGACCACATGCTCACATGACCCCCTTGCCTTGACCATACCATGGGGGTGTACGTTGGTGGCCCCCTCACCATACCATTGGGGGGCATCCCTCATGGTATCATATGGATCACCCCACCACTATATCATCCTCATGGGAGCTGGCGTTGGTGACCCCCCACCCCCTGATCATACCATGGGAGTGCTATGTTGGTGGTCCCCAGATCACCTCATGGGGGTGCTCCTTGCCACCCTCATCATATTCCATACTTAGTCACATTTTACCTCTTCTTGTCTCACTAGGGCGCCATGGGGTTGGTAGTCTGGTACCCACCCTCCTTGGTACCTCTTGAGGGTGGTGGTATGATGTCCACCCCCTTACCACGTCCTGGGGGTGGTATGATGGTGGCCACCCCCTTTCATACCTCCTGGGGCTGGTGGTATGATGCCCACCCCCCTTACCACGTCCTGGGGGTGGCTCCCATACTCCTTGCCTTAGCCAAATTCGGCAATCACCTCCCTCACAATGTCATGGGGGTGGCGGTATGATGTCCACCTCTTTACCACGTCTTGGGGGTGGTATGATGCCCACCCCCTTGCCATGTCCTGGGGGTGGTATGATGGTGGCCACCCCTCTTGGTACCTCCTGGGGGTGGAGGTATGATGCCTACCCCCCTTGCCATGTCCTGGGGGTAGCCCTCGGTACCTCTTCGGGGTGGCTGTATGATGCCCACCCCCCTTGCCACGTCCTAGGGGTGGTTCCAACACTTAGCCAAATTTTGAAATTGATGGCAAGGGTGTCGCGCAGAGTGGGTTTGGAATGGGTGCCATGGGTCCAAAAATCCAATTACCGTGGTCCATCTTAATTGATTTTAATTGTTATAATTAAGTTGACCTTATAAAGCCATTTAATATCTTGTATTTAATCGATGTGGTACAAGGTGACTTTTAGTGGTAAACAGTTACTAAATGGAATTTTGCCAAATATGTTTATCAAGTGCAGAAATCTGTCAGTTATTTGTGCTAACATTTTGATGTATTAAATGTACGATAATCTGTCACTTGTGCTAATTATATCTCAAATTATAAAAGAAAAAGAAAGCCAAAACTGTATGTTGTTTTGTGGGCGGGCCCTAATCTATTTAGCGTTTAAGGAACTCAAAGATAAATTTTGAGCACTTTCAGTTCTCAATAAAATGGCTAAGAGTGGTTTGTGGAAATGGCTAAGTTTTGCGGTTAAACCGCAACCGCACCGAATAAGAGCGGTTTGTGGTTAACCGCAAACCGTTTAAAAGGGCCTTTATTCGGTAATGGTTAGTGGAATTGGCCCTTTTGCAGTTTGCGGACTAACCGCACACCGCACCGAACAAATAACCCCACCGAATAACTAACCGCATAAAAGGAATACCCAGCCCAAGCCCAACCCATCCAACAGCCCAAAATTCTTACTCTTTCCATTTGGGATTGTTAGAACTTAATGTGTATGATTTATTTGAGATGTCTAGAACTTATATATGTTTCAGACTTTTCCATGTGCATTTTACTTGTTTTAGTGTTAATTTCTCAAGTGCATGTTGCTGAATTTTACAGGTTAATTCGGTTTTTTTATGCGGTTTTGTTCCATTTTGCGGTTTTTTGCACCGTTTAACTCTTATCGCGGTGTGCGGTTTGAAGTGCAGTTAACCGCAACTAACCGCTAACCGCGATTTGCGGTTAGTGGTTAACCGCAAACCGTTTACAATGCGGTAACGGTGGTTGGTTTTCCCCTTGTGCGGTGGCGGTTAACCGCGCTTATTCGGTGCAGTTAACCGCAACCGCACCGTTTCCCACCCCTACTTCTTAGTTTGTGTTCAACATGGCAGGTGCTACATGAATTGTGTTATATGCTTTCACAAAGTAGAGAAAGAACTAAACCAATATTACTTTGGTGAGTACAAAAGCGCATCAAATATCGCAAGTTAAGTAATAACCTAGATTCTATAATTATCTTCATTCAACTCTACTTGATTTCGAATTTCTTGTGATTTAACATTGCTTGAAGTGAAGTGAAATTTGATCCCATCTACTCATTAGCTTACGCAGGTTTAGAGTTGAGTTCAACATCAAAAGGAAGGAATAATACCTCCAATCAGAATACTTGATGAGCATTAGAGCTAAATTCATTATTTAAAATCTCTCACCGTAATAAACATTGTTCTCTCTAATTGAAAATGATTTTTTTGTCTTCCTTAAATAATTAGGACAATATACACTATTATATTCAAAACTTTCACGATTGTGCCAATAATAGTCAAAATTTGAGAAATACCACTTATAGCAAATTCCGTCACATTCTTTAACGAAGTTAGCGTAAAGTCTGACTGAACAAACGATGGTGCTTATGTGGCGAACGCTTATTTTCCAATTTCTCTGTAATTATCAACGTGGATAATGATTAATTTAAGTAAAAGAATAACCAACTAAAATTTCTAAACCCCTCATTTGACCTTACTCCTCATTTGATCTTCGTATCTACACTTATCTTTTCTTTCTTCGAACCCCCCAACCCTTCGCCTGCGGAGGAAGACGACGAAGAACGATCGTCCAACACCGACGGACGATCGTCCAACATCGACGGACGATCTTCCAACATTGACGGACGATCTGCCTCCGGCGACCATTGTACCCCCTGATTTTCCTCCATCCATCATCGATCTAACCCCCTTCTCTAGTCCTGATTCCCCTCCCGTCATTGATCTACCCTTCTCGCCCCCTTCCTCGACAAAGACACACATGCATCCGGTGACTTGACCAACCAGCAACGAGCTTTGGCCGACTCCTCCCAAGCTTCATTTCATTTGACGACCTCCCAATCGCACCGCATGAAACGCGAGCCTGCTTCTTCAAAGAAATCCTAATCGCACACAAAAGGGGGAAAAGCTTCTTCGTCTGTAGCCACTGGTGAGAAAAGCTTTTGAACGTTGTACTTGTGGGTGTTGATTTTGGCTGAAAAGTTCTTATAGAAGTGTCTTTGTCTTCTTTTTTTGGTGGGCAGCGAGGTGTAAAGACAACAAAAATGATAGGACAGAAGAACAAGGGGAAAAATCGATTGAAACCAACACCGGGTTTGCTCCCAAATTTGACGGTTAGTAGCTTTCTCTTCTGGGTAGAATTGTCATTACCTTTGGTTGCGAAAACCCTAGAATTGAATAATGTAAACCATTGCTATTTTCGATTAGTTTGTTAGTTAGTGATTATAAATTTTTAACTTAAGCTAATGATGGGATAGTGGTGATTAAAAAACTGATTAAATGTCTTTACAGATGGCTGATTCATGGAACGAAGCTTTTGGAGAGAATGATCCACATGCTGTTTAGGAGAATCCATATGCTTCCTTGGCTGCTGAAGATGGGGTCGAGGTCTCTATTGCTCGAGATATATAACATGTATATGACTCATAAGATGCAGACACATCTGATGTCGAGTACCATGAAGCAATGGCAAATCTGTGAGCTTATGGGGAGATTAAGAAAAGGAAGGTGAAGGCACGTATTGATGGCCATGGGGAGGAGGTCGAGTAGCTTGATGTTTTTGAAGAGGAGGAGTCCTTTGATGATGAACTCTGAAGAGGATGGATTGGTTGGGGATAATGAAGTTTATGGTGCAAATGAAGCTCAGGAAGATGCCCAACCGGCCGAGGTACCTCCAATGCAGGAATCTATGCGAGCAGATTCGAACCATTCGAGTTATAGGCTCTCCGAAGAATCAAACCATGTGAGAGCCAACCTTTCCAATTCGGACGGTGGGGACCTATTCGATGATGCACCATATTGTGACCACAAGGTTCTTCAGTTCGTGCCTCGGATGAAGTTTGCTAGTACGGAGGAATTTAAGGCAGTTGTGGTCTGCCACTCTGTAGATGCTGGGACTTGTTTGAGATGGGTTAGGTTTAATCCATCAAGAAGGGAGGGGAAATGCAAGGACAAGCACTACAAATGGAG